AAAACACGGAGAAATAAATAGAAATGGATCCCTCGAATCTGGCCTTTGGTTTTCCCGGTCTCCCCAACCACGGCCACATGCCAATACCACCCACCGCCAATATGCTGGGTGGCCAGCATCCAGCACCCACCGCCAGTCCACCACAGAGCGTCCCCGGCCGTCGAACCCCGCTGGGATCGGTGGGTCTGGGTGGTTTCTATGCCCAGGGAATGGGCATGTCCCAGCAGCCGCCAACGGACGAGAATAAACCGGGACCCAGTGCTCCGGAGAAACCACTGAGTCCCACGGCCGCGGCCATTGCAGCCATTGCCATCAGTGGTGGCACCACCACGGTGGCCGTTTCCAGCGGTTCAGCCGGAGGCAGTGGCTCCAATAATGGCAAGCAGAAGAATCGCCAGGGAAAGACTGTGAGGCTGAACATAAATGCCCGCGAACGTCGAAGGATGCACGATTTGAATGATGCCCTGGACGAACTGAGGAGTGTGATTCCCTATGCCCATTCACCCTCTGTGCGAAAGCTGTCCAAAATAGCCACCTTGCTGCTGGCCAAGAACTATATTCTTATGCAGCAAAATGCCCTTGAGGAGTTAAGGAGGTAAGATAGGAAGAACTACCTCAAGTGACATACAATTGGAGTCATTTTATATGTTATTCTAAAATATTTATCTCAATTTCAGACTACTGGCCTATATACAAAGCACCACGGGCGCTGCACCTTTGGATTTGGGTGCCTTCCCAGCGGCTGCCAAATTGCAGGCTCTTCTCCAAGGACCTCACAACGAACCGCCCTCCAGCAGCAGTTAAATAAGAGTCTGAACCGCAAAAAAACAATGGTTCTCCTGATAAGCAATCCAAAGAACAAGCAATATTCTTAAGTCAATTGGACAAATGCCAAATATTTGTGTACTAGTCAGACGAACGGAGGTTGAAAACGAGCCTCTTTGTCAGAGCAGCCAAGTGAAAATCTGTTAAGTGATATTTATTTTTGTCATAAGCATTTCTTATTTGTGCATTTACATAATGTCAACCACTATGTGTAAGATGAATATTATCAAATAAAGTATTATTGAAGTAGAGAGTATTTCATAGGTTAAAGATGATAAGGCAAAAGGAAATAGACGGGCTAAAATGGCCAATGCTCAGAACAAAATCTAGCTCAAAAATTAAAGTGGCTCATGTAAACTTCTAAGTCTCATTCCAAGATAAAGTAATTTTTAAAGATTTCAGAATTACGGACTTAGTTTTATAAAAATCTTACGGCTATTTCATAAAGTCATAGAAAATCGACCTAGCTTCACTGTTTTTAAGCATCGAAATATAGAATATTTAATTTTTGAAAAAGGGTATTTAAACTTTGGGATGACCAAGTTTTCTCCCATTCCTGTTTCCCATTACAACTGTTAAAGAATACCAATCTATGAATCGACAAGCAACCCTATTGTATGTCTCAAACATCAAAACATTTCCCACCCAAGCACTTTTAATCAGCGAATGTGAAGTATTAAAAATTCTCAGTCACAATTAAAATAATTTAATCTTAGATCCGTTTCAAGTCTTGACAAAAATATATAACATCATATAAATATACATAGTTTGCTGAATGGTTAAATGATGATTAAGCAAAAGCACTTTTGCGAAATGCGAGAATAAGCTGATTAAAACTAGACACAAAATCGATGAATACTCTAAAAACAAATAGACATAAAGTAAGTGGAGGACGGCGGCGAGGCGATCGGTGCTGGATCGGCTGACATTATTCCGGTATGCCCATGGACAAGACCTTGTTTTTGCCAGTGCGAAAAATGTGCTGCTTGGTGGGCAACTGGCCAATTAGGAAATCCTTCATCAGCTCGATGGCATCGCCAGAGTGTCCAGTTCCGTGGAAGGCGATGGTGGCGTCCCGTCCTGCGTGATCCATGATGACATCGTCGCCGCCGGGATGATCCCTCAGGAAGTGGGTGACGTCGTAGACCCGGTCGTAGATCACCACCCAGCAGTCGTCGAAACTGTCGTGCTGGGCCACCTCCTCCAATGAAATTTCCGGCAGATCTTCCACCTTCAAGCGTTCCCTTTTGTCTGATACGACCACCACTTGGTTACTGGATTTTCCCTGTCCCATGGGCACAATCCTCAGCGATTGTAAAAGGTTTGTCAACGCCGATGACATTTTGTATGTAATTACTTTCACTTTTACGAATACTTGATATAACGATTTGTAATGCTACACGATCGCTTCAGACGGTCTGGAGTCGAGTTGAGTTCTGCTTGATCGAATTCAGTTCCAGTTTTTCTGGGCTCTTGTGTGTGTCTTGTGCAGCCGCCGGCAATCGAGTGTCATTCATGCCGTGGATTGTAATCGTTTTATAAATGACAACACGTGAATCGATCGGAAAGGCCGAAGCCCCGGTGATAAGACTTCGGGTCCAGAGAAGCGAAGCTCGTCCAGATCGGTTTTATTAATATATATATATATAGCAACATATAGGCAAACTTGTTTGCACCCAAATTCATGGGAGGGCTAGGCATTGCACTGAGATCGGGAGATTGGGTAATACTAATTTTATGGGCAATCGCACGCGTATGACTCAATTTCGTAATATGCTCGGGGAGATGAGCATAAATAATACTATTCTCTTTGGAAACTGGATGCTCTGTGAGCTAATTACTTTCTACCTTATATTTTTAATGGGGCGACAATTATTTAAAAGGGAAATTTTTAACGAGCTAATCAGCATTACAATTGATTTATTGGCACAAGTCAAACGTGCATCAATTACGTCTACTCGACCCGTTTGATCGCAAGTCATTTTGGCAATCATAATACGTATTGGGTTAATAGCCTGTGTTTATTTTCTTTAACAATATATAATAATATTTAAATGCGTTTTAAGTCTACCCAAAATGGAAATTTGTGTCAAGCCTCTGACGTGTGTTCTAAATTTTCGAAGGCGCCTAATGGGAACAGAGATAATGACTTCAATACTATCGCTAACTACAACTTTGAACTTGAAATTAAATTGAATTTTAAAATGATGCCACACTTTTGAACTATGTGAACTATCAGAAAGTTTCTTTTTAGTTATTTGTAAGTATGTTTAATCAGTCGTTCTTATGAAAGCCAAGGGCTGATGAAATTAGTCTGTCTATTTAATTTCCCATTTAAAAGGGCGCCAGTCAAAACGCAATTTAATTATTCTATACATTGTTATGTATAAATAAAAAATACTGCTAAGCGAAGTCATTTTTCTCAACTACGCCATATACAACAAAAATATTGTTTAAATAAAAACAACAAACGGATAGAAGACAATATTATGATGTGTGAAGACGTCACAGTTCAATTGTTATTGAACATTTATTATTTCCAATTGAGTTCAAGTTTTATGTGTGGTTTTTACATCGTTTGGTAATCCAATATGTTGGCAGCTCAGTGTTAAGATCAGCATCATCACGTTCAATAACGAGCCAAACCGCAAAAATATTCAAAGCAATCGTAATCGAAAGTATTACGTGCTGTTTACCTGGGCCAAGGCACTTGACTTTGACTTTGAGTTATAACTTATATCAAATATCTTTAGAACATAAGTAAAAGCCTGAGAAGAAATATGGTATATAAGCAGCCAATCTGAAACCGCAATATTGGGTTATCATTCTCAAGTTGCGTGATTAGAGAACATGCGTCAATTTGTGCGAAAAAAAGGCAGCTCGTTTTGTGACAATAAAGTTTGTATAAGTGTTGAGAGTAGTGTTATCAAAATATACTAAAATTTGTAGATCCGGAGATCAAAGTTTAGTTCCGATGAGTCTATTCCGCGCGGATTTTGCAAAAGTTTTGAGATAAGCCAGAAAGTACCTTCAAAAGCATTGTCAAGTCCACGGCCGGAAATATTTGTATTAGAAAGCTAAATCCTAAAATGTGATTACTCATTCCATTTGGCTTCACTTTTAAATGTCAAATTTACTTTTTGTAGATTATTTTCCATGAAAGTTGGAGAATTTATTGTTTTTTGTGATTTTATTTCCAAGTCCAAGGCTATAAAAAGAATATTATGCGTTCTTAGATTTCTTTGCCCGGTCTAAATTTGTTTTCGCAAAAAAAATAAACCAAATCAATTGAAATATTTAAATTTATTGTGCCCGAAAGTACAGTTCATCTTGATCACATATAAAAATGTATAACGTATATTTGTTTTACGTTTTCTAGGTGATCTTCAACCGAAATAAATTTGTTAGGTATAGTATAAGATCAGAAAAGAACAGATTTGATTTGTTTTTGTGGTCAACCCCGAAAGCAGATAATAATCCAAAAAAACATTGGTGGTAGTTAAATGATAAGCGTTCGCGGAAAAGTGCAACTCATCTTAAATATATTTAGTTAATTTTGTTTTATTTTTAGTTGAACTTTAACCGAAATAAATTTCTTAAGACTAATTAATAATTGCAAGTATTAGTAAAAATTAATTTTATTTACATTCGAAAATGAATATAAAATGCAGATAGAAGTCCAAATAATATTATTTTGTTAAATTTCTTGTTTTAAATTAATGTCAAGGAAAACAAAACAAGTGGCAACTCCAAAAGTAACTGACATCCTGGAAAGCTATTTGAAAACAGGAGCTTTTCGGAAAAGTTATAAATATTAAGCCTCTTGGGATTTCGCGGGCTTTTTATCAAATGAGCCAGCTGTTGCTTGTTAAGAAGCTTTTGTGTAAAAATGCCTTTCCTTCCGTTAGTGATATATATTTAGTTTTGGCTAAAAGAGCCGGTCCTTAGTACAAAATATACAATAACTTAACGTTCGAGCTGTAATGAATCGAATTTATTAGCTTTAAATAAGTGATTCTTTCAAAAAGACTTTTTAACGGACTGAAAGGAGTGCTCGAAGTTTCCCATTTGCATTTGTGTGTTTCTACGAACCCATCTGTGTTTTGGGTGCCAAAGTGTGAGTGTGATGGAACATGACATCGGGGAACTGCGTGTAATTTTCGGTGAACAACAACACAGTCGAGTTTCAGCAACGCTCTGGCCAAGTTGTTGAGGCGGGTGAACCAACAGGAAAAACTCAACCGCTTCCAGTTATCTCTCTGCTTGGATACATTTGTTGAAATAATTGACCAGTGTGCACAGGGGATTATTGAATTAAAATTAAATGAAAGCCCGCTAATAAGGAAATTGTTTTGAAAACTCGTTAAGAACACAAAACACGCACAATATGCGTTGCTCCGTGTAGAGCAAATTGCGCATACGCCACGTTGGACCGTCAAAAGGATTTCGTAAACATATTGTTGCGGAAAATTGCATGCAGCAATTTGAATAAGAAAATTGTTTGCACAATTTTTGTTCGACTTTGTGTCACCGATTCGCAAATATTCAACGGGTAAGTGCTGACACATCTGTTTGATTTATGTGAACTCAATTTGCATATAAATTCGTTGTTTTAAATTGGAAAATAGTTAAGGCACGTTTGAAAAACAAACCATTCAATATGTAATGTGTTTTACTGCTTTGAAGTCTGAGTGAAACCTTTATTGGACAATACTTTTGTTGGACCAATGTAATACGAACTTGTTGAGCAAGTAAATTGATTTTCTGCAGTCAGCAGAAAATCTTAGCTTGCAAACTTTTATTGTAAAAGTTAGAGAATTTTCTTTGCAAATAGTCTAGTGAAAACTTCTGCTCAATTTTCTTGAGAAAGCTTGTTGTGAAAATGAATATGGGGGGAAATGATCTTTTGTTATTTTCATAGGAGTTGGCAAAATAAAATTATGGTAATGTTTACGAAAAGAAAATTCGGCTAATCTACTTAGGGAACTCAGGTTCAGTAGACTTGCTGCTAGTCTCAAAACAGCCTTGAAATAATACATATTTTTTTTACTTTTTTCTTGGTATTTCTTGGCAAGTTACAAATGTTTAAAATCAGTTATCTCTTCAAATACAAAGTAAATCTGGGAGCTCATAAAAATGCAGTATCATTTATGCATAATTCAAGTTATCACCATTTTTTGTCATATCCATTATATTATCATAATGTATTAGAAGCTACGAAAATTGTTTGTTTTGGAAACCGAGTTCCCTTTCGCCCAACGAGAGTTTTTTTGTGCACCCACCACGTTACTTAATAGCTGATTACTGATTGGTATGATTGCATTGCGTATACGGCACGTGGAACGCGTTGTGCAGTGGATGTGATAAATTCTCCCAAGGCAAAGATTGTTTAATTAAATAAGTCGAGTGCGTTTGCGAATGTACTCCAACATATGCGGGATCCTTTACCCAATTCGGCGTGTTCCGTTTGAAAAGGCAGTAAGGATTTCGTTTGGAATTTCTCAGCCGCAGGCTGTTTAACCTGGTGTAGAGGCCAGGACTCAGCCACGTTGCCAGCCACTCAAACACAACAAGTATGTCCTTGAAACACCCGTATATGACCGTGAACCCCGACCTCCATTCCGTAGCCGAACCGAGCTCTTTTCTGGCGACCTTCGTCATATATTTGGCCAGGGATATTGCGTGTCAGGCAGTCAACAGGCTGCACTAAAGAAGTGCATTTATTATAGACATCTCCGGATGCCGAATAGCCATGAATATTTATCACGTGTCCAAAGATTAATGCATTTTTAATGCAAAAACGTCGCCCGAGGCAGCCGAACCCAACATTGACGAGGACATAAAGAAGCTCGCAGCCAAACATGTTTGTTAACTTGTTGAGTTATTGGCAGCTCTTTAGCCTGTGGCCCACCACTGGGTTCCTTTATGTGGGTTTCCTTTTGTTCCAAGAACACAAGTATTAATATCACACTTATTATTTCCTTACCCCACGCCAAGACATTTGTTTCCTTTCTGTTTTTTTTTTTGTGCCCTCCTGAGTTCGCATGTAAACATTTTCCGTTGTTTACTTCTTGGGCATTTTCAGCGTTTTAATGAGCGTTTTATTGTTTATTTTTATGCTCGGCGCCCTTAGACTGGGGGCGCATAACTTTGGGTCACTTTATTAAATTGCTGTTTATCTTGCTTTTCCAGTCTCTCTCTTATATTTTATTTTTTATTTTCAATATTTTCTGTGCCTTGTTGGTTGGTGTCCCATGGTTTAATGGCCTGTGGCGAATTGACATATGGTTGTTGATTTTAATGGGATCTTTTATTCCGTTTTTATCGCATATTTTGGGCTTTAGAGTGTTTTCAAATGGGAGTCAAAGGATTGACTAAAACTTAAGAGAGAAAGGCTGGTTTTTTTTACTTTAAGTATATTCCTAGCTAAATTATAATAATTTAATAGTTTGAAAAATATTCCTTTAAATTTAAGATGTTGTTTTAATTATAAAATTACAAAATTTGTTGATAACCTTCAGGGTTTTCATATAGGTATAATTGACAAATAGTTTGTAGGGATAGATTTATCAATGGTTTATTAATAAATATTACCTAAAATATTTGCTGTTAAAGAATTTAATTAAGAATATTATCTGCTTGTGCTACTCATTGTCGAAAAAAGAGTTTAAAAGCCGAACATGACTTAATCATGAAAGCGTATGCTTTTATAAATTGTGTAATCGGAACTCTTCAAAAGGGATGACATCTTAATAACAAGTTTTTCCTTATCTTGCAAAGTTTATTAATCCATTTATGCCTTTTTCACTGGACACAGCCGGCTCTCAGCCTTTAATAGTATATCCCTTGCATCCCTGCCATAAGCCATAAATATTCATTGATGGCTAATTAGCAAAGACTGCGATGGGGTCACTCTCCAATTTGCCCCGCTGCTCCCATTGACATTGAGAACAACAACTTGCACAGCCATTGGTGGGGGATAATCAACTTGAATAACAAAAACAGACACATAAAGGAGACTCAAATGGGGGGCAAAAGGGATGATAATGATGTTGCTGATGTGGATAAACTAGCGCCTCGACTGTGCCACTATGGCGGTAATACAAAATGCTGATGCCTGATTATTGACGGCCAGGACCTCCGCATCCGTCAACTCTGACTCCTGGAGGCCATCCGCGTATGATGGCAAAACTTCTGCTGCTTGTTTATGCACTCCGAAGGTTTTCCATTTGAAGCTCGAGGGACCGTGTATAAAACTGCACTGGATGAGTTAAAGCCAAATTAAAGTTCAGCGCAGGTGCGGGAGGCCACGAGCCAAAGGATTCCAGGTCGGCGAAGCCTTCATAACTTACTCTTACAACTGGGTAATGTTTATGAAACATGTACAGAGAAAATCAACGAAAGCAAATAGAAGCCATACCTAGGTTGCTTCTATAAGATATTCGCATAAATCTTCCTTATTAAAATATTGACAAAAATACAATTTTTCATTAGTAAATCTATCTCCAAACTATATATATACTTATAAAGAAAAGAAACCGAAGGACACATTTTTCCTCTGTGTACTTTATCTAGGTTTAATTTTTTTCCTGGTCATTCTTTTGTACAGTACAATTCAGGATAGTCACAACACGCGCATCCTGGTGGACCCAATGTCGTAATCTAATTACAGCCAGGGACAGGTGTGCAACCAGCACTTGGCCAATGTTTCCGCAATACTCTACGGCAGGATACTCGGAACAATGGCTACGAAAGGCAGGAAGAATTGAAGCAAAGTGCTTCCGGAAGTCGAAGAAAAATGAATAGTTAAATGGAACTGGTTTAGTGTATTCATGAAGCTGGTAGTTGCGAGTTGATTCGCTTCCGTTTAAAGCTTTTTTTTTTGAGAAAGCAGGGGAGAATGTATTTATGCTTACTTTACTGCTAACATTTTATTTTTTGTGAGCTTTATGGTTCAAAATGAACTCCATATATTCTTCCCCTTCTCCTTAATTTTAAATTTTAAACTTAAATTCCTTTTTCAATAATTACCTTCAATTATCTGTCTATCCAGCTGAGTTTACATCATCAGACTGTCCTGACAACAGGATAATAGGGTGTTTGGCTTGCTGACAACTGCAATTGTCCCCAAGCTTTTGAAAAAACAGCAGGGCGTGGATTTGACCAAGAAATGGAATGCCAACTGTGGATATTCCATGGGTCTTTGAGTCACAAAACACTTCATTAGACTAATGAGCATAATTTGCCATAATGGCGCAATGCAAAGGCACTGCGATGCCGTTGAAAGGCATCTTTATCCATTAATTTTTTAAAGCATGGTTGATGAAATCGCCAGCTAAAGGGAAATCACGGGAGTGAGCTGGTCCACACACTCACCGTTTTCCCAGGCAGGCAATGAACCATGCGGTTGATTTTATCGATTAGATAAACTTAATTTTAGTCGCTTTGTCAACACATTACGGGACTTGGAGGGACGCATTTCTGCCCTTGACTTTGCTGCGACGCAATCAAAACCACAGGCGGAAGTAGTGCCGCGGCCTTATCTAGGGGTTCCAGCGAAAAGTGAAAATGTGCACGATAAAGGCCGCAAAATGATTTACAAAGCCAACCAAATACCAGGCAGTCGGGCCAAAAGGGCTAAGTTTTTGTATTAAAATTTATGACAGGAGCAATAAATCCCTATGCCCACAGGCCCACATATGTGTGAATGATGCATGTGGCCAGGCATCAACAAGGGAACTCGCAGCAAAGGCCACGGCACAAATTCTTTAAAATACCCTCACTGAGAACCCAGCTGGCCTAAGTTATTAAGCTGGATCAAAGATGATTTGATTTATTCACCGGGCAAGGTTGAGGTTTTCTTCTTGATCTGAATCTTTCTTTTGTTAATTCGTTGCTCAAAGTAAGCGCTAACGTAAATTGAAAGAACTATAACTACTAGAGGCATTAAGTTCGCTAGCTGTAAATTTTGTTTAGTTCTGATATTTTTCTTTTTTAATTTTATTTACCTTTGTATCTGCAAAGGAATAATGTACGTTACATTTTGAATAATACAAACAATAAGTTTTTATATCAATAAAATATTATTTTTACCCCATTCTGTAAGTTTTTTTATTTATTTGTAATGTAATATTTTTATAAATACTGAATGATTATTGACTTATCAGCAGTTTGTTCGTTTTTTTTGGTATCCATTTTTTGTAGTTTTTAGCCAGCTTTAGAAAAAGTTTCATATATTTTTTTCATATTGCAATCATAGGTAGTTTTATATTTAGAGAAACTCTTTACCAAGTTTAAAGGAAGGGTATGACAAATCATTTAAATCACATAACCACATGTGCCGGGACAAACAATTTTTGCCAGCAGCGTGTGTCAGGACATCAGTGTCAGGACATGAAGGCGCAAAAGGACACCTCGAATGACTGAATGACTGACTGATGATGAGGGGCGTGGCTGCGAGATCTGCTCAATTTGACATTGATTGGGTTATGTGTGATTTAAATACGTGAGCGGGGGACGCGCTTTTGTTGGCTCTGCGGATGGAAATAAAAGGTAGGTGATATCAGTTCGATGGCATTTTGCCATATTTCCCAGGGGCTTAACAGCCGATTGACTGGCAAATAGATTTCACTGGAAATGTCTACATAAAGCGCTTAAATGCTGCTACACGAATTTTCCCTTAATTTACGGCTCTGGCTTCTGCGATAGCTGCTTATCTTCGTAACTGTCAAAGTTTAAATTAGAACTAATTTCATAAATTTTCCAAGCAGTCACATTAAGGCCCAAAAATTCCTGCACTTAGCCCCGAAGTCTCTTATTTGCACATAAGGGAACATAAATCATTTCCACAAAATTTTGCAGGAAACGCAAAAAAGAAGAAGGGAAAACTGGGAATTGAACCCGCATACACACCTCATGCAATTGCCATAAAAGAAAGCGTAGACCCAAAACAAAAGTTGGCCGTAAATAAATAATGAACGAAAAGTAAATTTGCTGAAATTGGCCGACAAAAAGGGTGTAACTGGGAGTGGGAAAGGTCAGGGGCAAAGGAGGCACTTTTCATCCAAAGGTGGCTTTCAAATATAAATACACTAATTAATTAAAAACTCGGTTATATACTTTTGCTTTCTAAACACACAACGCTTCATCTTGTCGGCAGTTCCGCGTTCCTTACATTTCTATTGCACAGAAAGAAAGTTAAGCCATATTGTAATATTATTAATTAATTTATATTTTGGGGACTTAAATTAAGTTTTATACACAAAAAACGGTTTTGGATTTTTTAAACGCTCTTTTTTTCTCTTGCATAGAAAAAAAGTTCAGTAATAATATTATATAGAGGATATAATATATCTATATTCTAATATATAATATTAGAAAATACAAACTATATATTAGATAATACAAAATGGATTTAGTATAAAAAGTTTGTAGGGCAATTATTAAAATATAGTTTTATTTTTATCTCACAACTGAAACTTTCAAGCAAACGAAAATAATATTGTGTGAGTATTTTTTAACATTCCGTGTAATTAAAAACAATTTAATTTTTGTCAGAAAAAAAAACACCAAGATTGCGCAGTGATTAAATAAGTTTCAGGGCGGACACTCTGCCCTCGTCTTTTGTTTTAAGTGTGGGTGTAATTTCGAGGATTTTGTGGGGGTTCCTGGGATGAGGGTCACCTGGCAGTTTGTTTGGCTAATTGCGAACTAACCGAGGACGAGGCGCCTTTATGGCAATTTTGTGTGGCTGCGGTCTAACAAAGACAAAGCCCCGTCCTCTTAAATTCTGGATGCTGATGGGGTACTGTTAGCACGTGCCGGTGGTCAGGATTTTGCGGTGGCCGTGCCCCAAAACCACCAGCACCTTAAGCCGCTCAATTAATAACCCACAAAGCCAGCGAGCGGTGAAGATGAATGTCGGACATGGGGCCCCGAGCTTTGATTTATTTATGAGACACACAAATCCCAGGGTCCTGACTTGCTAATGAATGTTTTATGGCTAGTTTGGGTGTCATTAGCCAGGTGTATAGATGTCGATATGGGGTCATTGCAAGTAATTGACCCATGTTGTCGTTTCATGTGTTGTGTTAAGGAATTTGCTGCATTCTTTGACCCATTAAACCAACTTATTTTCTTGCAGATTGACCTACAAACTCAGAAATGGACATTGTCATACGTGAGGAGGACATTTCGCTGGCCCAGATTGGCGTATATGCCTCGGTATCCTTTCTAGTCGTTTCTGCCGTCGGGGCAGCCCTCTATACCACTTGCTCTAAACGGTATCGCCTCAACTGGTTTGAACAGAATCTTCTGGAGTCGGCCAACGAAAAGGATGAAGATCAGCAGAGGTGAATATCACTAGTATCTTAAATGTTAAAATTAAACTATTTTTTATAAAATTCAGAAAATATGAAGATCTCAAATAAATTTGTATTTCATTAAACGTTTATTTAACAGGTACCAAAAATAATTATTATTTGATAGTATTATTTTTGAAGAAATTCCGTGAACTTATTAAAAAAGTTCGTTTTACTTTTGTCTAAAAAATGTATTAAAATCAGACAGATAATTTTTATTAGCTTTTGCCCAAAAAGTGTGTAAAAATCAGAATAGTTTTTAGCCGAATAAATTAAAATCCAAACAGTTTTATGTTTATAAAAGTATTAAATAATGATAATTTTATTTCCGTGTCATTTTATAAACAAGTCGGAATCATTCTGCATTAATTTTTGAAAGAAAAATAGATTTCACCGTTTTTTTAAATTTTAATATTTATTTGGCATTATATGGTGTTTTTGACTGCATTTGAGACTTAAAGGTAACCTCGAGTTGACAAATTTAAAATTTAATTAGGTTATTTTTCCCCCTTAAACGAGGAAAGAAACACATTGTGAAATGGCAAACCTGTGTAAGATAATTTAAATTTTTTTCCAACTTCTGTATGAGTTTTTTCAAGCACCCTCGATGGTACTAACCGTATATTACGCCCAAAATTGTTTTCGTTTCACTTCAGCAGGGAGGCCTTGGTAGCCGGTGCCGTGGGCTACAATGTGGACAATATCAACGAGGTGCCGCGTGGGAAATTCGGAGGTGGAAATGGCGGCAACCTGAGCCCCACCTCCCTGAAGAGCGAGGACAATGACCCGGCCTTTTGGGTACCCGCCTCGGTCACCTCGACGGCCGCCATCCAGCAACAGGTGTCGAACACCACCGAGGAGTCGGCACCACCCACACCAACCTCGCCCACCGGCAGCCTGAAGTCGAACACCCTGTCCTACTGCTCGACCACTTCTGTTCCCATCGCCAGATCCGACAAGCATGTGGTTCTGGCCATGCATCCCAGTCGTCCGAGAGTTTCCTCCATGAACGCCAAATTGGATCACACCAAAATCGACATGACCTTGTATAGGAGTGTAAGTAAAGGGTGTTATTTCATTTTATAAATTATTATCATTTATATCCTTCTAGCACTCCCAACCGAAGACCATCAATCCCGTTTCCCTTAATGAAGTCCGTGGAAATTTGCATGTCAGCATTGGCTACGATCCTGTTGGTGGCTTGCTGAATGTCAGACTACTGGAGGCTCAGAATCTGCAGCCAAGGCAATTCAGTGGAACTGCCGATCCCTATGCCAAGGTTCGATTGTTGCCTGATAAAAAGAATTTTTGGCAGACACGCATACACAAGAGGACCCTAAATCCAGGTGATTATATTTTTTGCTTTTTTTTAACAAATTTACGAGCGTTGTATATGATAAAAAAAACCGTTTTTTATCGAGTTAAAAATGTACTTAAAAAAAAATTGTAACATACATATTTGTAACTCAATCAAGTTAAAATTCAAATCCATCTTAGAACATTATAGTACTCTTTGGATGTCTGTACAAAAAATACTCCATATAAAAATAATTAAAAAATACTAAATTAACTTATTTATTTTATTCTAATTAAACACTTTGAAATAAACGATTTATTTCCATTTTTTAAGTTTTCGACGAGCAGTTTGTGTTCGAGGTCACAGCCGGAGTTATTGACAAACGAACTGTGGAGATATTACTGTACGACTTTGATGCCTATTCGCGGCACGTTTGCATCGGAGGAACCAAGCTGCACCTGGCCAACTTGGATCTGAGTGAACAGTTGAAGCTCTGGACCCCCTTAAGTTCTGCCTCGGCCCAAGATATGAAGGTGGATCTGGGCGATATAATGGTGTCCCTGGCCTATTTGCCATCCGCGGAACGTTTGATGGTGGTCCTGATCAAGGCCCGAAATCTGCGGATTGTAGACGATGCCCGGAACTCTTCGGATCCGTATGTCAAGGTTACACTTCTGGGACCCGGTGGCAAGAAAATGAAGAAGCGCAAGACGGGCGTTCAAAGGGGCACCCTGAATCCTGTTTATAATGAAGCCCTGGCTTTCGATGTCGCCAAGGAGACGCTGAAAAATTGTGTACTAGAATTCACCGTGGTCCACGATGGTTTATTGGGTGAGTAACGATGTTATTAATATGTTATTAATAGCATTTAGAAGAAAAAGCTGTGCTAAGAAATCCGTCTACATAAAGAGAATGCTAAGTTATTTAATATTATTATTTTTAAGCCTTTGTGGCTTAGCTTTAGTCAGATTCGTGAAGATCAGGAAAGCGTACCGTACTAAAATAGATATTGACTATGAAAAAGCTTAAGAATTAAAAGGTTACCGATTCATCCTTTCACAATAAAATTTTTAAATTAAGCTTTAATGAAAATATTTTTATTAAATACACAATTGAAAATGTTATTTATTTGCCATTCTAGCAATAGAACTTTGACATAATTTATCAGAGACTGGGTTTCAATTTTAATTGTGTCATCTTGATTGCCAAATTACTAGGTGTAAACTGCAGTTGCCATAAATCGATTAGATTCTAGAGTTTGTTCTTCTGTCCAGGGTTCATCTAATGAAAATTTGTTCAGGTGTCCTAATATAATTATAAAAGTTCAATTAAGTATAGATACTCAACTATTTTTTAAGCATTTTACCTAGACAGGCCATATGGCATTCAGCTTTAGTCTTAAACCTGTTTTTTTTATTGTGGTTGTCATCGGCTTCGCAAAATACGAATATTTGGCAGTCCTTAGTATAATGTGAATATGTATATTCTCTTTTATAATCACATTCTACTTCAGAGGAGTTGACTTCTTCCTCACATCTTTCCGAATGGGCTGAATAACGTAAAAAATAATTATGTTTTGAATACCAAAGTCAAGTTATATAATACTTTCATGATAGCCAAATGCCCTTTGGCTAAGTAAGAAAGTGACGACAGACAAAATAATTATGAATTTCATGGTATTGTCCACCTCAACGTCGACTAGGTTCTTTAAGAACTGAGCTCTATAATTCCGTTTGTATATCATTTATTTGTTGTAATTAGTTAAAGCGAAGCTAACAAAGTTAAAAATTCGGATTTGGGGAGTTGCGTTAGCTGCATACCCTTCATTCGATTTTAACGAATAATATTTAACATTTTATGTAGTGTTTTAGGATTGGTTGTCGATATATCATTTAATTCTGAAATTCAAGCGATTTTAATATTTTTTGAGTGAATTTGTCCATAATGTTCGGAAAGCATCTAAAACCTAGCTTCATTTAAATTAATATTTTAAAACATTTGTCTAAGTTTTTTGAAGGTAAGAAATAAAATAACATTTATTCTATTGCAGGTTCCAGCGAAATTTTGGGTCGTACTCTTATTGGAAACTCCCCAGAAGTCCGCACTGAGGAGAAAATATTTTTTGAAGAAATTTTCCGCGCCAAAAATGCTACAGCCCAATGGGTTCCACTGCAGGAACCGGCAAACAACTTAGCTACCACAGCCAAAAACGCAAACAGCAAGAACTAGCTTCCGCATTTGCCGACTGCTTTTGGTTTGTGTCTTAGTAGAGACGGCGCCGGTGGTTGTCTTGGGTAACAGTAAGTCTGGTGTAAGGGTTAAAGCACATTAATTTTTTTTAAATATGAATCAAGCAAAGGTTCAAACCTGTATCTTATAAATTTACATTAATATCGCATTTTTGGTTTTTCGCTGATACTATTGTTAATCAGTCATTATTCAATAAAACTTCTAGTAAATTGTCTTAAAAAACGCGTTGATAGATAAAATAAATCGGAGAAGATATTTTAAAATAACTCACAAAAACCGGTACCAATTAACTATTCGTAGCTTCGTAAATTTTGTTTATTTTACGTTTAAAAAACTATATTCTTGAAATACTATATATTGATTTACAATACCCTTACCCTTTTTGAAATAAAAAAACACAGAATTCCCAATGTAGATTGAACATCAAGAAACACGTACAGCTGTTGTCAAATTAATAGGAGCAAAAGAAATGATTTATACATTTATTGTTGGTTTGTTTTATAAAGTTACCATTTTGATTTGAACCATGGAAATAAAGCTCCTATTGTGAAAACGGCTGTACATATATATCATATACTTTATATATATATAAACAACATTTTGGTCGACTTGTTAAAAGTACTGGAATAAAGGAACTTGCAGGGATACGTTTTAAGCAGGATAAAGAGTCGAACAAGAGTGTCACACAAAGATCACAAACTAGTTTCTAGCATGATCCAATATATCTCAATGAATGTGCTTTGTATGGTATCAATTAATCACAGAATATATATTTAATATACAATTTATGTGTCAGGAATGTCAAGAAGTACCTAAAATACAAAAACCTTATACAAATTAAACAAATAACTTACTACCAACTATACAAAAATCAAGCGAGGATTAATACTTTGATTTTATAATTTTTAGGCGAAGGTTTCAGGGCACAGAGGGCACAAAAAAATCATAGAATTTTAGTTTTAATTCAGGCTTTATAAAAATGTGTTGAAAATATAATACATAGCGAGTGGAAATAAATGTAACCAAATAAAACTATTCTTATACGCATAATTCTTATATTTAATGTAGTGATTATATAAAGGAAATTGTGTCTATAGTAGTTTAAACGCACTATGTATTCCAAATTTGCAAACTACCTTAAATTATTGATACATAATAAAGTTCTTAGATCTTAGAGATTCAATTTGTTTTTCTTTGCTATTCAACCTTATATTTGGTTTAAATCCAGTTCCCTTCAAGGTTAATTACCAAACTTTCCCCTAACCAACCTTTAATTAATTTCAGGCATCAACTTCAAACGCTTGAGGTTTCCTTTTTCCGTTGAACGAGACCAAAGAAATCCCTGCCCCCATTTACCCTTTTTCGTGGACATTGAGCCTTAAATATTTTGGTGGGCCAAAATAACTTGTTGGCCAAGTTGGCGTGCAAAAAAAACTTTCCGGAAAACCCGTTAACTAATTTTCCAACATTGACTGATAAATCCGCAGGGAGCTGCGACGGGCAACGCTACATTGGCTGTTAAAGCAGCCATGCAGGAGATGCCCCAGGTCCTGCGAACTGTTGCGGTTCCTGTCTGTGTCTATATAAGTTCACCGTAAATTTCCTTTTCAATCAAAATGTGCTTTCATTCAATTTGGAAGGCAGCGATGGGGCATAAGTAGCCTAAGTTAGGGCAGCGTGGGTGTGGAAAATAGGAGGAGAAGAACTGCAAAGGCAACTTTGAACTGGTGCCAGAAATTGGTGGCGCCAAAGGGGAATCGAACGTTGCATATACAAAAAATTATACAGCAGTTGTTTCAAAAATAATTCATCTTTTAAAAATATTAAAATTAATTTTAAAGACAGTTTAAGGCCTGAGAAAAATTTAAATCTGAATAATTTATATCGATTACTTTAAAATGCCATTAAAATCGTCATAAAAAGTGAGATATACATATTCTTATATATGTAGATAAAATATGTATATATTTCTTATTAATTTGAATACATACTTTATGTACGGCCAGTGAGGAATTCTAGGTATGTTCATCATATTTGTTTTCAGTGCAAACAGGAGCTCTGCTAAACGGCACCGGAAACATTCTTATGGATTTCCAACAAAGTCCACGACCACATTACAGAGTGACCCAGGAAGCCGAGTGCAAAGCGAGCCGACTGATAGTTGGTTCAAAATGGATTCAAAGATAGTCGCCACAACTAGCAGAAAACACCGCAAGGATAGTTAAATTATTTGCTAGCCATTTGCCTTTGTGTCCGGTCCTTTTCGCACCCACCACTCCGTTAAAGTTAAATTTTCTTCCTTCCTTTCGCCAGACCTTCCATAAAGTTTCTTCAACCATTTATATTGCTCTTTTAAGTTGTGGCCAAGGTCAATGGTCAGTCGCTGATAAACTGTTAAGAATCAAAGAAAATCCATAGGAGAATTTCCAAGTGGTTTTGTGTAAGTTGCAAATTTACTAGCTGCTTCAACTCCATTCATTTAGATTTTTTGCTTTAAAATAAAAAAAGAAAATATCTTAAAGTTGTGTTTTTTTATTTTAAAGGTAGTTAGTGAAAAAAATAAAAAAAATATTTTAAAATTGATTGCTAATAGATAGACTGTTAAGTTGTGTAGATGGATTGCCTTTGTTTTTAGTTAACGATTATGATTTTAAGCAAATGCCTATCGGATACCTATTAATATGCAAAAAATGTAAAGTCAAAGTAAAGTGAAATATATATGTATCAATTTTAAAAAAATTAATTTGCTTAGAACTTAGATTCTTTAATTCGAAAAAAAAACAGAAATACACAAGTCTAAAAATCACATAAAACATCGCTATTTTCTTTTTAAATGTGTTTGTTTAGCAAGCTTTTGCGAAAAAGTCAAACAGTTTTTTAACCCTCTCATCTTTAAAAGATCAAATGCTGTTCTCATAAAGTATTCGCTTTACAATGCATTTCAGACTATGTACATTTTTGACTTATTGATGGTCTCTGTCTGCCAATTGTCGCTGCTTTTGCCAAAGTGCTTTTGTGCAATTTTTCACTCTATTCGTTTGCAATCGCTGGGATTCCTTTGGAGCGGCAGCTATCAATTTTTCACCGATAATGCCTCGCATCAAAGTCAGTTGGCAATAAACTGGAAATACGACTAACGAGTAAATTCCATTTTTAATTTCGTCGCACTCTTTGTCTATCTCAACGCCATTTGGTCTCTGCATCATCTCGTTTCTATTTGCCACTGCATTCCCAGTCCGTTTACCCCTTCGCCGAGTCCTGAGTCCTGGCCATTTTCAAAAGCTTGTCAGCGGAAAACGTAAACTAACGACATTTTCGTTTTCTTATTTACACAATCAATTTCGTGCTTTTGTGATCCACAGGCAAAGGCGAGCGGGAACGTGGGATTGAAAAGGACAGCGAATCCTGCTCCTTGCACGTCCTTTTTGCTTGGCGACATTGCGTGGATGTGGATACACATCCTCCATATCTCTGGACTTTCCTTTGCATTGCCCTTCGTAAGGGTATTTTAACATTGTGTAGGAGGTGCTTTACATAAAGTTGAATAAGAATTTTGTATATTATTTTTTATATTGAATTTTGAGAAGATTCAACAACGTAATCATTAAAAGAAAACGTTTCTTATCAGATCTTGATTTTAAACTTCTTTGAAAAGCACATTAACGACACATCATTTGTAGTCTCATGTGCATTCCATGATTTTTATTTTGATTTACTTTCTTAACTTAACCAAAAGAGAAAATACGCATTTCAATTTTCAAAATCACAGGAAAATTATAGTCTCCAGTTGTGAACATCGTTTAAAAATTAAATTCAATTTTTTCTTCCAAGATTTTTCTAAGACTTCAATTGAAACGTTACGAATTGAAACATTTTTTTAAGTTAAAATTATCCTTTATAAATTTACGGTGCTATAGATCGTGGACTTTCATAAATGGAATACAAAATTGGCAACCAAATAAAAGATAATCTTTACAAAATCTAGGATAAAGTATTTCTTATAAATACGAGTATTATTAGAGTATTTAAAAAGTCGCGTTCTAGGGAGGTATTTCCTTCTTGTTTTCTGGATCCTCCAGTCCCGTTGTATCGTTAAGTTGCCATTGGTATATAGCTTTAGTTTCGGCAGTGACGATGGCAATGGTGTTGCACTAGCTGCTGTTGCTGCCGTTTGTGCCGCGAGGGAAATTGTCGTCAAAGCGGAAAAAATGTCACATTGTTGTTCTAGCCATCATGGAGATGAGAGGAGGATGGGTGGAAATTGGTGGGTGGGTGTTATGGAAGCAACTCCCACACTTGCCACACGTTGCATGTGTGTTGCAGTGGCAGTAATAGTTCTAGTTTCGTTTCGCTTTCTTTTCGCCGGCCCCTTCCGCTTCTCCACCCCTTTCATTTTGTTTTTTTTCTTTTCAGTCCTTTCTTTTGATGTTGACCGCATTCGTTGGCTCGTTTCGCTGGCTGAGTTCGCTTTTTGGGGGTCTGCCTTTATTGTTTATGCAACTGTCAGCAGTTTTCGCTTCTCGTGCGCCCCAAGTTTTTCCAATCCCAACACCGCCCCCCGGCAGATTTTCTTCACCATATATGTGTAGGTGTTTGCTTTGTATCTCTGTACGACTTCCATATTTGTTGTCATTTCGAATTGTTTCAATGACTTTTGACAGCGAGCAGATTAGCTCGGCGACGCCTCCGCTGAATTTTCCACCAACAACCAAACCCTTCGGCGATTGTCGGGGGAAATCAGAGGTGTATGTTTGGATCATTCTCAATTACCAACGGGGAAAAAGTTCAACGAATTCGGATTCAATGGATTCTGTGTGATTACTTTAAATAAGTCTTCTCTTTGTCTCAGGTTGATTGAAAAACAGAGCTTGATAAATTACTTTTTTATGAATTTTTTGCTGAGGGTTGAACTTAGCAGTAATTAATTTTTTTTGGTTTCATTATACTTAATAAATATGAAATACTAAACATAAAAGCTTTTAGGGAAGGAGATTCTCATTGTTTGCAATCAACGGACAGAAAAAAACATGATTTTAAAAATTCAAATTAGTATTTGTGTTTATTAAATCAGAATTCAATGCTTGAAATCGTATAAAATCACTTCCACGCTTCAACCAAGTGCATAATTATATTTTCAGTCCCCCATTTCAAGCATCAATTTCCCGCAAACCAAAGGGGGGCCATCGTAGCGAAATAAACCAATTATAAAAAAGCCATTTCGCATGTCAACAATGTGCACGCAAGTTAAAACTAAAAAGCGCAAACAAAAATTAATTAAATTATTTTTAGCTAAGCAATGCCACATGTGGTTGTTCGATGCAGCTCATCAATAAACAAAATTTATGGCAACCACCGAAACTGGGGAAATAGTGCAAAAAAGGCCATGGTCAAAGGCAATTAAAGATGGTCCGCAACCCAACGAATGGGGCTAAAACAATGTCCCTGGCGAGCCTGATGACCAACCGAAATTTCAGCCACCCAATCAGCATATTTAAATTGTGTTGTGCTTGTTGATTGAAATGCATGAAGTACGACAACGTAAATAGGACAACGCACCACAAGTTAGAAGGACAGCACTCGCACACATCGATCTGGTGGAAGGACACATTGGCAAACATGAATTTTTATCCTGTCGGTGACTCTGCGGCTATGGGCGACGCCCAACGGCTCCTTTGCCTCCTTCTTCTCGAACAACCCGTTTTAGATCTCCCGATGGCGACAACATCCACACTTTAATGGCCCACAGTGGCCTCGAATCGGGTGCCGTTCCTATGCACAGTGGCAAACTTAAAGCATCTGATTCAAATATATTTTTAAGATTTTGTTGTTAAGTCCTTTAATAAAATATATAGGTTTTATACAACAAATGTAGTTTTTTAAACTCATAAATTTATTTTTTTTTTTTGTTTATTTATTAGTTCTACTAATATCATGGCTATTGTTTTAGAATCTTATTCTTAAAAAATAAGTTAAATTTCTATAATTGTGTTCCTTTAAATTTAAAAGCTAATGTCTAGAATTCCGCTTAGTGACTTCAAGAATATAATTGGCATCAAAAAATAAATATATTTAAAATGCATCGGTCAAATCTTTTGAGTGAGAACTACTTTTGGTAAGAAAGTTCCACAATTTGACATGGTTTTCTTAGTGTACCCATTCCGATTTCGATTCCGATTCC